TTCTCCCTGCCTTGAAACCCTTGAGGAGCTCACTGTCCTTAGAATAAAGAAAAAACTCCTTAGTGTGAATTAGAGAGTTCTGCCTAATAATCATCCCTGCTCTAGCCCCTTTATTTCAAGCTCTGTGTACATAATCTTTCCAGTACTCCAGTTTATGCTTTAAAACTTATACACACAACATTGCATCAACCTTCCCATGACCTTTTCACCTAGGTAACACACAGTCCTCAGCTGTAAACTTTAAAATCACTTTCTCGGTGAAGCCTTATTTGCTGCCCCACTCCCGCTTCTCAGACAAGGTTAAATCCCCTATAATATTCACCTCACTGTAATATTTCTACACTGTAAGCTCTGTGAGGATAGGTACAATATCTTTCTTTCTTACCACTCTTTATCAAATATGCGGCATAGTGTTTAACATAGCATATATATGTTTAATAAATGCTTCACTAGGTAAAGTGTAATCCTAGTTTTGAAATACAAAATATACATAAATATACATGAGATATGTAATATGATGAATATGTAAGTAGAAATGCATTCAGCTGCGATTAACAGAAACCTGAAGAACAAATTAGGGCTTTTATATTTTTTTCTTACATCGTGAGAAACCTTAGTGTAGGGGGTCCAGAGTCCATGCAGCAGTCACAGAAAAAAATTTAGCTGTGAGTTTATAGATTTTTTTTTAATCATGGCAATAGATAAAAGTGCCTAGTAAGAAAAGGTACGAACAGAATAGGAGCAGGATTGAACTTGGGGAGACCCCAGCAAAAGTTATTCAGTAATATGTTCTAATAACACCACAGAAGTGACAACGTGAAATTTCCAAGCTAGAGTCATAAATGTGGCCTTCAAGGCTGCTGCTATGGTAAAGACTTAAAAGAAAGTGAGAAAACTGGTATTGGAAACTGGAGGAAAGCAGGTCCTTTTAAAACAGTGGCAGATTTATTTCTCACTATTTTGTAGGTCAGAAGTCCACTGCACTCGACTAATTTCTTTGCTTGTATCTCACAAAGTCAAAATCAAGGTTCCAGCAGAGTATATAACAAGTGTGGAGAATTTGGAACCCTCACATAATGCTGGTTGGAATGTAAAATGGTACAGCAGCTTTGGTAAACAGGCTGGCAGTTCCTTAGAAGTTAAACATAGAGTTACTCTATGATCCAGCAATTCCACTCCTAAGTATACACCCCAAAGAAATGAAAACTTAACACTCACAGTAACATGGAAAGTAGAAAATGTACCCATGAACTTGGTGGTTTAACAAAGGAGATTTCCAGGTACAGTTTTGGAGGTTTTGTCTGTCTTCATTTGCCATTTATAGTAAAATGCAGCATGAGAGAGATGAGCTAAAGAGAAGAATGTTAAATATAAAGGATCCAGGAACTGTTTGGTTTGAAAGTTGTCAATTTCTAAAAATGGCAAATGATGTGAAGTAAAAAAACAGATTCAGGCAAAGAACAAATTAAGGGCACTGTCAGGAAAACATGCTCTAAAGAGGAAACTAAGTTTCTAACTGTAAAATATTTTCTTCAGATTTCAGAGAGATCTAAGTTGGTGCCTCTAAGAACCATCCAAATAACAAAGCTTCTAAAAAACTAAAAACTATTGCCCCTGCTTTAAACAACCATATGCAGGTTTTTGTGTGGAGATAAGTTTTCAGCACCTTTGAGTAAAATACCAAAGAGCACAATTGCTGGATCACATGGTAAGAGGATGTTTAATTTTATAAGAAACCACCACACTGTCTTCCAAAGTGCTATACCATTTGCATTCCCACCAGCAATGGGCAAGTGTTCCAATTATCCCATATCCTTGCCAGTCTTTTATGCTGTCAGAGTTTTGGATTTCTGCCATTCTAATAGGTGTATACTGGTACCCCATTGGTCTTTTAATTTATAATTTCTTAAGAACATATGATGTTGAGTATCTTTTTACATGTTTATTTGCCATCTATATATCATCTTTGGTGAGGTGCCAGTTCAGGTCTTTTGCCCATTTTTTGATTGCACTGTTTATTGTTGAGTTTTAAGAGTTCTTTGTATATTTTTTTAATCATAGTCCTTTATCAGATATGTACTTTGCTAATATTTTCTCCTAGTCTGTGGGCTGTCTTCTCATTCTCTGACAGTGTCTTTCACAGAGTAGATGTTTTACATTTTAATGAATCTAGTTTATCACTTATCACCATGTTATTCTGTGAAAGATAAATAATATGATTTAATCATGAGGAAATATCAGACAAACTCAGATTGAGGGACATTCTATAAAATAACTGACCTGTGATCTTTAAATGTCAAGGGCATAAAGGTCAAGGAAAGACTGAGGGACTGTTTAAGATTGAAGACTTAAGAGATATGACAACTAAATACAACCAGGAATCCTAGACTAGATTCTTTTGCTATAAGAAACATTACTAGAAAAAGAGATTAAAACTGAATGGGATCTGTGAATTAAATGGTAGTTTATGTACCCATGTTAATTTCCTGATTTTGATGATTGCCTTGAGCTGATGGAAGACAATGTCCTTGTCCGTAAGAATTACACAGTATCAAGGGTGATGGAACATCATGTTGGCAACTTAGAAATGGTTCAGGGAAAATGTTCTATAAATTCAGCAAACTTTTCTGTAAGTTTGAGATCACTTCAAAATAAAAATTGATTATTATAAAAATGCATTTGTGATTATTTTCTCTGCACTTTAGAGCTTAAAAGATCATAGTGTGCCCAATTTTTCTTTCCTCTTCTAATAAACATACAGTAAAATGAGGATGGCATGATTGAAAGTGGAATTCTCTGAACCAGAGGATGGCACACTTTTTCTGCAAAGGGTCAGATAGTAAATAGTTTAGATTTCGAAGAACAGTCTTGTTGCAATTATTAATTTCCACTGTTGTAGTACAAAAACAGTCATAAACGAAACATAACCTAGTGAGTGTGACTGTGTTCCCATAAAACTCTACTTACGGATGATAAAATTTGAATTTCATATAATTTTCATGCATCACAAAATATTCTTTTTCCCAGTCATTTAAAAATGTAAAACCCACCCCTAGCACATAGGTCATAAAAAAACAGGTAGATTTGGCCAATAGGTCTTAGTTATCCAGCCTCTACTTTAGATTTAAAAATGGTCTTTACATGCTACACCATTACACAGATTATTAATGAATAATCTGTGAATATGAGCATTATAAATTTAAAGGAAGAATGAGAGAGTTTTATATGCAGACTACACAAGGTACAGGTGACTATTACAGAACGAACGGTCCCTGCTTTGGAGCCCACTTTGGCTCCTAGTTACACACACTTCTGTCCGATGGTGCCTAAATCCCAACCCATCCCAACACACAGATGAAGCCTAATCCTCCTGAGAGTTTGGGATCAGGTGAGGCTCACTTGGCGTTAAAAAATAAGAAATTCGTTTCCAAAGGTCTTTACATAAAAATGTGCTGCTTGGTCCGCAGGGACCTGATAAATACCTGTTTCTACAGCTTTTATCTAGCATGAACCACACTCTGGGTTTAAAAAGAAGGGCTAGAAGTATCACACAATTACGCCCAGACGTTGAGAGAGCAAGGGAAGAAATTAGAAAGAAGATGAAGAGCGGAGCCGAAAGCAATAATTAGGAAAGAGAATGGGAAACCGCTAAGACTGACAATTGCGCAAAGCGAAATGAATCTGGAAACTGCTGTCTTACTACACGAAAGAGGGCAATACAGTAGCCCTCTCACCCCCGACAGGCCGCGAGTCCCGCGGCGGGTGCCTGAGCCACAGGCAGCGCCAACCCCCCCCACCTGCTGCTGCTTCGTATCCAGGCCCGCCCATGATAAAGGTTCATGTCTAACCCAGGCACAGTAAGACATTAACAACTAATAATAAAACAGAACGGTTACAACAGCGTACTGTAGTGAAAGTCACGTGAACGCGGTCTCTCTCTCTCAAAATAGCCTGTCTCGCGGGTGGAAGATTCGTTCTTACCGGTAGATCTTCACAACCTCGGCAAATGATTTTCTTTCCTTATTAAGCTGAAAACGTTCACCTTTTCGCTTAAAGGAAGCACGTTGGGGCTTCTCGGTGGCGCACCCACAGTATCGCCGCTCTAGCCCTTTGGGGCCATTACCAAGCAAAATGAGGGCGACTTGCACTCCACCACCGCAGGCCTGTGACGGGCCCGCGGGGAACCAACATGGCCACCAGGGCCGCAGCGCAGCGCCTCAGCGCCCAGACGCCCAACAGTCTCACGGGACGAAGCGGGTCACGCGAGATTTCGCCCCGCTACTCGGAAGAGCGCGCAATTTAAAACTTATTCTTTCTGGAGTTTTCCGTGTAGTGTTTTCAGACCGTAGTGGACCATGGGGAACTGAAACCGTGGAGAAGAGGAGACTGCTGTCTGTGAGCTCTGAATAAGTCATAAAGAGTTCTAAGACCTTCGATTTCTAAAAATCTTGCATCCGCCTCAATTTAAAGGTACAGGATTCTCTTCCAAATGGTCATTGAGACATTCATTTGAATAAACATGATATGTATTTTTCCAACATCTTAGCAATATAGTGAAAAGAATATAATTAGCATATCACTGGAAGGTACCTGTCATTTTTATCTTTAGTTACTAAATCTATAAGCACAAAGACCACTGTGACTTTATAAACTCCTAGTGAGAGTTTTTCATAAGCCAAAATAAAGGTCTGATCAAATCAGCTCTTTCAAAAGAAATTTACTCTGCCAATTATACTGTCAAAGTATTATATCTTCCGAAGATGTTATCCCTCCTTTAATGCAACATAAACCACCATCTCTGGGACACTGGAAAGACTTATTGCTCACGTTGAAAAAAGCAGTTCTGAGCTGGGGAAGCATATGGTGGTGGCTTCACCACAGAACTCAGAAGCCCCTGCGGCAGGGAAATAGAGGAGGTCACAAGAAGAAAGGCACCGTGCAATGCAAACCGAAAGCTTGAGCAAGAGAAACAGCACTGACCACAACCACACGTGACCAAACACTGATTGAAAATGATTTATTAAGGTCCAATTAGTATGCTTTTCATTTTAAATAGTCCACATCTCCTTCAGAATACATGCACATGAGTAAAATTCCAGGTTCATTTATTTTACTTCCAACATCGAATGCTCTGTATATTGTATGAAGTATGTGCGAACACCTTTCTGCTAACTGGTTCCCCATATTCTTTTCACTTTGGGAACATGACTAGTCAGCCCTCTGTTCAAATGGTGACCATGCACTGACTCCCTCCTCCCTAGACAACCATCTTCTGGACATCTTTCTCTTAAACCCTACTCCTGACTTTCCAATACCTGCTTCATGACTGTGACTTGACTGGTTACTTATGACAACAAACGTGCAATTCCTAGTTTACCTAGAAAGTGAGTTAAACAGGTGTCACCTCATATGGTAGCAGACTATCTGGGGTGATTCTTAGAGAATACACAGTATCCAGTCACATGTTGACGCTCAACCAATTGGCTACAGAAGGGTCCCAAGATATTTAATATGAAGATCCTTCATTCACTTGGCACGTTGGATTTCTTTGCATTTTCTTGAATTCTGCATTACAGTTGTGGCTACCAAGAGTTTAATAATTGGTCCCTCAAACAAAATTTGGAATTGCTAGACATTTTAATAAGGTATTCTGGTTATTTGTGACAGTTGACTATTTCTAGTCCTTCTTGTTATATAAAAAAAGTCACTACACTAACCACTGAACTTCCTTTGTAAAAAGGTAATTTTACTGGCTTTCCTCACAATTGTCACCCATGAGGTGCAAAGCAGGAAATCCCTTTTTATAAAAGGTATGAGCATAAAAAGACATTTCACATTTTAAAAAAATCCTTCATGGGAACATATCCTAAGTAAATAATCAATTATATGGACAAAGTCTTATGTACACAAAATTTTTTCAACATCATTTATAATAATGAAAATTAGAAATAACCTAAGTAGTCAACAATATGGAAATGGTTAAATAAACTGAGTTGCATCCATTAAATGGAATATTATATAGCCATAAAAATTATGTTTTTGTAAAATTTTTAATGCCATAGGAAAATGTGGCAATTCTGTAGTGGAAAAAAACTGGTTATAAAATTGTTTACAGTATGATCCCAATTATATAAAAAGGTATATAATATACATATAGGCATACACGGGGGAAAGCTGTTAATGGTGGTTACTTCTGGGTTGTGATATTATCAGTAATTATTTTTTCTATTTTATACATTCTGCATTTTTCAAGTTTTCTACAATGACTATGTATTATTTCATAATACAGAAAAACACAGGCTATTTAAAAATTCCTCTGATGTACTAATAATTAGAATGTACTTGGGTATCATAAATATGTGGGAACAATATTACTAAGCTCCTTGTTCTATGACTTTTTTAGAGTACATATTATTTTGGTAATAAACTTAGATCCCATTTTTTGTTTTATATGTGTTACGACACTTTAAAAAGGTAATATTGTGATTAGAGCATTGTTTTGTTTCATAACCTAAACAAATACTGGCTTTAACATCCAGGTTCTCCTGTTTCCTAGAAGATTTAAAATCAATACCCTTTTATCTTTTTTAAGTAAAGCATACTGCATACATACATTACATGCATGCTTTCTAAAAAAATAACTCTAATTTACAGTTTTCCTATATAAGGGGGAAAAAATGAAGTTACGGTAGTTTAAAAACAGTCTATCGTCTTATCCATCACAAGCATACTGATAGGCATAAACATGTTTATTAAATGAAATGTATCCTTTAAAAATAAAAAAGGGAAGCCTGTATGTAAATGAAGTTGTGGATTCAATTAGTCAGTGTTTCTTCTGACTTGCACCAAACCACACAAGATCTTTGGAAGTCTAGTTACTGTCTTCTATCTAAATGGACACTCCAGAGTCTATTTACGAATTCCATTCTAAGAGCTCCACTTGCTACTTCCAGAAGGAATGGGGATCCAGATGAGGGCTGTCACATAAGCTAATTTTCAACATATATCAAGTCTTGTTGGGTCTAGGAACAAATACTGCCATTGGTTAGTGTTTAAGTACATAAGTTCGCTTCCCCCCCTCTCTCGCCCCCACACCTTGCCCTGGCATTTGGGTGGGGGGAGGCTCTTCACCCCTCAACAGATGCTGGCTGGCCTCTCTCCGCTTCCTTTCTAAACCACGGAGTGGTCATTGCTGTGAACTCCGGCCAAGATGGTGTGGTTGAGGGAGGAGGCCGAGCGGTCCGAGCCTTCCGCCGGGCCGCCGGCGCTCTCGCCGCGCTGGCAGCACAGGATCTGCCTGAAGGTGGCGCTCATCTCCTTGTCGCGGTAGGAGTAGATGATGGGGTTCATGGCAGAGTTGAACTCGGCCAGCAGAAGGAAGAACTTCTCGTAGGCCAGGACGTCACACTGCGGGCAGCACACGTCCAGAAGCAGCAAGACCAGCCCAGGGGTCCAGCAGATGATAAAGGCACCTACAAGGCCGGGGCGAGGGGTCGGAAGGATGTAAAAGAGAGAACAAAAAGTATAATTATGAAGCAAACAACCATAAGGTGAAACTATTTCAGTTCCATATAAAATACTGAGATGCAAAGCCACCAGATCACCGTTTGAAAGAAAATGTTCATATTCTGAAGTAATCAGAAAAAGTTTTACTGACAATAAAATAATCAATGTAATAAAACCTCATTAATTCAGACTCTACTAACATTGAGTATTTATGAGACACAGATGAAGCATGAGACATGAAAAACTTCATTCAGGACATACACTTTGATACTTATAGAGTTAGGGTTTTTAATAGCATGAGAGTGTTTTTAGGCAAAAAGATAAGTACTGTGACAAATGTCCTTTAATATTTAGTTAAGGCACAGTTTCTGGATTCAGGTTGACTGGGCTCAAATCCTTGCTTTATTGTTTAATGAAGTAGGTGAACTTAGGCAAATTACTTTTCCATACCTCAGTTTTCTCATCGAAAAAAAGGAATGATTATATTTACCTCATTAAGTTTGTTGTAAGGAGTAAATGAGTTCTAACAAAATAATCACTCGGTTTATTTTAGTAGTAACAATAACAACAATAATATTGTTAGTATCTGCTCAGTAGCCTGAGCCTATTTGAAAACAGCAATTTCTAACGATGTTTGTTTACTTTTATTTTTATTCAGCAATCACTTAAATGGTGCTTTTCCAAATGCTTTATAAATATTAACTCCTTTAATCTGCACAATAGCCATATGAGATAGAAAGTATTATCCCATCATGCAGATAAAGAAACTGAGACCCAGAAGTTAAATAACTTGCTCAAGGCCATGGTACTGGAAAATGGCAAACAGAAGACAGACCCCAGAGTTTCTGCTTTTAGAGGCTAGATCCAGAGTCCACACTCCAGAAAATACTGTTATACTCCCACTTCTTGAAGTTAATAAAATATTTTGAACCAAATTTTATGTTTTGGATGTTTTACAAATTTAGATCAACTTTGTTCTCTTTCTTCCCTAACTATTCCGAAACAGTAAGATTTTACTATAACTGTAAAAGGAATGAAAATATAGATTATATTCTTAATTCCAGCTTATTTAGTTCCTGAAATCACTCATTTAGCTCCCAAGGAAAATGAAGGTTGTGAAATAGCATTAAAATCTACCACTGTGTTACCCTACCTCAGCTAAGAGAACATGAGCCAATAGAACCGGTGGGCGCTGTCACGTCCCATTACATCGCACCCCGTATGTGTGATCAGGCTACACAATGAAGAGACAGCAAACGGAGATGATCCCAGAAGAGCTTTTGAATCTTTAGATTTAAATGGCACTGGCCTAGGTGAATGCAGACTTGGACTGGAGTGGTGGATTTGGACTAGCCTCAAGGAATGAGTTTCACAAAATGTAAACAAACAAGATTTAGCTTCCAAGCAACCCAGTTTTTTTTAATGTGAGCTTTCTTTTTTGAATCTTTTCAGCAGAGAAATGAAAATAAAGAAAAAAGTACCCCCATAAAGCTCTTTGTTCTAAAACACAAATGTGTATTGGTTTTAAACTGCCATTCACTTTGAAGACTGTCCAAGGTGCTTTATTTTCTAATAAATACAATGACCTTAGACTTTCCTTAGAGAGAAAAAAAATAATATTTCAAACATCAGGAGATAATAGCCAAGAAGCTATTGGAACTTCAAGTAAAAATGTTAATAAAGCATTTATTTTAAGTCCTTGAATTTTCTTGCTTGAAAATCACTCAGAAAGAGAACATAAAGGAAAATGAAAGGAATGCCTCTTGAGTTTCAGAAATAATGCATTATTCACTGAGAAGCCAGGAAGGGCATTATTCTCAGGGTGGAAAATGCCTGGATGGAAATGCATGGAGCCATTATTCCATTTACTTGGAAGCTGGAAACATGCAAGCTCTTCATGAATGGGACAGCATTCTTTCAAGTTTCCCTTCCCCTTTCTTTCATCAAAGCTCTGATTGAACTCAAATTCAGAGCTTGATTAGGTATCAGCAACATGTATCTCAACAGATTTATTTTAAATAAAATGATCTTTTGCTCCTTCCAGGCAGCAGAAGGGAAATCCTTATTCTCATGGATCTGCTCAAACTGTGTGACTTTGTTCAAAAGTGACAGAAGTCAAATACAGTCCTTTGCTGTTGATAATTTCTTCTACTTTTTTAATTCAAGAAGAGCAAAAATTTTTGAATAAAAGCCATGGTCTCATAAACTAGTCCGATGGGCCTAACTTTCAGACAAAAATTAAAAATAAAATAAAAATGCAAGGAGCCTTGCTAGACTGGAGGCAGGAAGTGGGAAACACCATGGCCTGAGACAGGGGCTAATCTACATGGACGCTTCATTGAGGCACTCAAAGTCCTCTTCTCTTCTTTTCACTGCAAAGAACTGTTTTTAGTACTATGATTAGGCCCAACCGCACAGTCCCAACACTACATTTGGATCTTCAAGACTTGATCAAGTAATTTAAGGGACTCACAGTACAGGCTTCAAAAATCAACATCTAAAACCAACCATACAGGTTTTCCCTTCTCTCTCTCAGAGGTGCCATGGACCAAACTGACCAAAAGATGATGGTGGGCTACATAAGTGGAAAATGGGGCCTGGAAAATTCCAAGGTGATTAGGCTTCTAAACAATAGTGAGTGAATATTATGAAATTAGGTTTACTCGAATTATAGATTTACCAACAAGCTTCTAGAAACAAAAACTACACCCAAGCCCCTTTAGTAATTAAGTAGCTAATTGTAATTGAAACAGGTCATAGTACATTGTGGACCCTTGTCAACATATAATCTGCAGAGACTTAAGTGTATATGTATTAAGTCAGGTTGATAAAAATAAAAAGAACCTCCATCTCTACATCTGTAAAGTGGAAAAGTAACAGGTCCCTGCTCTACTCCATAGGGTGTGGTGAGCATTAAATTGAGAAACAACATGTAAAAGCCCCCGACGCGCTGCATGTCTGTCTGACTGCATGAACTACATGGTGGATGGCATGATGTGGAAAGGCTGGTATTGCACAGAACCAGGGCATGGCTCCTCCAGGGCAGAGTGTGCAAGCATGTTCTGGACCACGGTGACCTGGCATTTCTAAAGCTCTGACCCAGCACCATCCTGATGGGGAGAGATTGCTAGCACTTGCAATTGGATGTTAAAAGGATAAAGAGAAGGAAAAGAGAGGAAATACAGAGAAGCACAGAAACCCCAAATCATTTCTGGAGGTTTTCACGAGCCAACTCAATATGTACCAAGATGGGGAATAAAATAAAATGGTACTCCACAGAAACAGTGCTTTAGTTCCAGAACATTTCTGATGGACGAATCCCCACAGACCAAGGCACAGAACCAAGGAATGGTATGCAACAGCACGAAAGTAAAAGGAAGCACAAGTCGTTCATGGTTACTTATTGTGAATTCAGATGCAGAAGTGGCAGCAGATAAGATGTCCAAGGTCGTGAAGACCTTGTATATGGCCTGGTTAAGACATTAGAAATTTCTCCAGTCCATCATTGATTCTAAACCCTAGCCACACACTACAACAGCTTGCTGAGCTTCAAGAAGTAACGATCTTCATCTATCCATCCTCCTGTGAGATTTGAATTTCACCCACCTCATTGGTCAGAGTCTCATTTAATAGACAACACTGGGAGAACAAAATGATCTGCATGCAAATAAAGGCAAAAACATCAGATGTTTCCAAATTCCAGAGGAGAAACCATGAGAGCCTGAACTGGGGCAGTGACAATGAGGAAAGGGAAGTATTGAAGGATTAGAAAAGTAATTAGGAGATGGACTGCATGAAATGGGCAGGAAAGATACAAGAGTATGATGACTCCTAGATTATTCATTTGGGTAATGGAAGAATGGTGCTACCCTTCACTGAAGGAAGAAACAGGAGAAAGGGTAGATGTTTTCTGAGGTGAGGTGAGGAGAACAGAGATCATGATTTCAGTTTTATATATCTTGTACCTGCAAGACTTCAGATGGAGAAGCCTTAAAGGCATCGTGATGGGCTGATGGCAATTTGAATCCTGGGAAACTGTCTCTTAGTGTGCTAGACAAGAGTAGTTATATTTTGCATGATTTGCCAATATTACAAGTAACATGGAGAGACAGATATTTAAAAAATATCTGTGGGTTGGAATAAATAGCAGAAGTTGCTCTTCCTAGAGCAAGCTTCATTCCTTTCTTTCACATCTGTCAAACCAATCTGTGAGGGCCCCAATGCCCACAAAGATGGAAGGAGAGGCCTTGGAATGTAGACGCAAAAAGCAGGGAGGAAGGAGGTTGTTTGGGAACGACAGGTCAGAGCCAGATCATGCTACACCTTCCCTTGCATCTACACAACCCCATCAGCTAACTAATGCTGCCCGTCTGATCTCACAGTTGCAGTCTTTCTCTAGAGTCACTTTTTCCTAACTAGTTGCTCTTCATTCACCTAAGGAACATAAGAACCAAAGTTAAAGAGAAAAAGTGTCTTTGACAGAGAAGACTTCTAAGGAGAGAGCCCAAGATTTTTGATGAAAAAAACAGAAAGCATTTCCAGTCTGGCTGGCAAATTGTGTTTTTACAAAAAAAAGCAGGCATCCCAGACATCTAAAACAAGGTAAATCAATTCTACACTGGTGCCTTGTCCAAGTCCATCCCTCCTTGTCCTCAAACTTCAAATGGGATCTCAGAAACAGGCATCTGGATCTCAGAGTCTTGGGGTAGAGATCAACGAAGGGAAATAAGTGTTTAAATACACAAACAACTTTTTATTTTGTCCCTAAATTGTGTATTTCTTCAGGGCAGCACCTTGGTATCCCAGAATCCAATCAATTTTAGTTCATTTCTCTAGTTATATTGTGATTTCTGCTATTAAGTTACACATATAAAACTAGGCTAGCTAGGATATCCTTCTACATTATATATCTTAAAAGAGGTTATGTTAGATAATAGACCAGTTAAAAAGCTTATTCCTAGTAAAA